GCCGCGCTGGGCGCTGCGGAGCCCGTCCTGCACCAGGCGGCGGAGTCAGGCAGCCCCGGCACGAGCTGCGGCGGCCGTGCTTCCTCCTCCTTTTCCTCCTCCTCTTCATCCTCCTCTTCCTCCTTATCCTCCTTATCAGTGCCCGGCTCGGTTTCGCGTCCCGCCCGGCCGCCCCGCGCGCGCGGCTCCCGCCCTCTATGGATGGGAAAGCAGCACCCAACGGCGTGGCCACCATCGAGGACAGGATCTTACGGATCACGGGCTACTATGGATATTACCCGGGCTACTCCAGCCAGAAAAGTAAGCCTCTACCTCCGTGCTGGGCTTCTCTCCGCCAGGTGCCGAGCGGGAGATGCTGGGGGGGGGGGGCACAGCCATCCTGCAGCGGCGCTCGGGAGGGATGCGGGAGCATCCCTTTTTTGGGGCTTTTTTTTTTTTTTCTTTTTCTTTTCTTTTCTTTTTTTTTTCATTCCCTCCCAGCTCAGCGCTGCTCCGGGAAAGTTTGGGTGGCGGTGGGGGCCCTCGGAGCCTCAGCATCCCCCGATGGTTCGTTTTCCTCGCTAAAGTAATCAGATTTTTCCAGAAAGGTGGGGGGTGATTGGGAGATCCGGCTTCGCCTCGCTTTAACCGGGTGAGGATTTAGGGCTGTAGCGGATTTCTGTGGGGTTGGGGACGTCCCAGCGCTCCGTGCTGTTCCACGGTGAAAGTTCCTCTTAATGAAAGAAATGATTCATTTTTTTCTTTTTTAATACCGCGGGGGGAAAGCGATCCATTCCGTGGTCTAAGAGTTACTTTGCACTTTGCCGACGCTTAGGAAAGGGAAATGGAGGCGAAGGGGAGAAGGAAAAAAAAAAAAAAAAGAGGAAAAGGCAAAAAAAGGAGAGAACAGAACCCCCCCCTCCAAGCAGCCGGTGAGGTGCGGGGAGCACGCTTGGCTCTGCGTGTGTGAACTCCCCTTGGAATCAACGGAGGTGAGCTGCTTCCAGAACAACGCAGTGCTCTCCAGCTGTAGTACAGAGGGAAGCAGCAGCACAGCCGAGCAGCTCCTGTCAGACGGGCACCTCTGAGGGCTTTTTGTAAGAGAGAAAAGAAAGCCGTGCATTGAAAATAGTAATAAAATTGCCTTGTGTGTGGTTAAAGCAGGTGGTGGAGGTGGTGGGTGTGAGGGCCCTTTGCTGAGGTCAGTTGTCTTGTAGTTGGGAAGGAGATGAGAGCCATCTGCAGGGATGGATGCATGGGAGTCTGAGCCAGGTGGGACCGTGTCCTGCATTCTGCAGCAGCCTGACAGATGGACCAGAGAAAGGTGAGGGCACCAGCTTTGTACTTAGTCACAAGTTTGCTTTGGTTGCAGAATGCAGTTTTTCAGCTTGCAGCAACACTCCCACTCTCTGTCAAAATGCAGACCCGAATTCGGTGTTGGCAGTGTGACCGTCTGTCTCTGCATGGGTGCATCAGAAGACTGACTGCCCAAGTATAGGAGCTTTCTCAGTCCAGGACCAGGTTCTGCAGATGCTACAAGCTGCATCCACTTGGAATTAAACAGAACCTGGAGAGGAAAGCTCACAAAACTGCTGACTCTAGAGATTTCATTGCAAATCTCCTGGCCTTTTGCACCTCTGTGGAAGTCTGGGTGCTGACAGGTGCTTTGCTGGAGGGGAAATATTAGTATCTCAGGTTTTGTTGTTTGAAGAAAACAAGTAGGATTTGTGATCACCAAGCTCAATGAGAAAACCTGCAAGTGTGAAGTGTCCTCAGGTGAATGAAAAGTATGTGTTCCTACTAAACCACAAGCACTTTTTCAGGAAGTCTCTTAAGTTCTGTAAACACCATCGTAATTCTTTGGAGTGCTTGCAGTTGGCAAATGGCTTAACTTTTCCTCATGGCTGTGATTTTTTGGGTTTATCAAGTGATTTAATGTTCTAAGGTTTTCGCAAAGGTGTTCTACATCTTTCATGAGGGACATCTTTCATGAGGCCTCTTCCAGGCTGTTGGCATTAAAACAGTGAGGGTAGCTTGTGCTCTGGTAGGTCCTGGCTTGGAGATTTTACTCCATTTCTGTGTCTAGGCTGAAACATAGCCTCCAGGAGTGGCTGCTTCCAAGTGCTTTTGACAGTTCTCTCTGCTAATTGTTTTGTGCTCTGTCAAAGTGTAAGTCCTCAAACGGGAAGTTTGTGCAACTAATTTGTAAGGTGTACGAGCTCTTGTTTTATTTCTCAGGGCATAATTATGTCAATGCTATTCAAACAGTTTTAGTGCAGCTGAACCATGACCATGCCTTTTGCTGGAGAGCTGCAGTGTGGTGTGCAGTGTGCATCAGCTTTCAGGTAGGTTGCATCTAAATCCACTCCCAGTGAATGAAGAACTGTTGTTCTGCCACGTATCCAGATGTGTAGCACGTGGAGTTTTCTCCTTACACTGACACCTTGCTCCTGCCCAGGTCTGAAGTGTGCTTGGGAAGAGAACAGCTGAGGATGAGCTGTTGTGCCCAGGAGGGCTGTGCTCTGTCTGCTTTTCTTCTGCTTCTCTGATAACCATCAGGTCTCATTTAGGACCTGGCCAGGCACCAGGTGGGGATGATATTTGGGTGCTGGTGTTCTGCTGCTGGCCACCAACTTCCTTGAGGCTTTTCTTTGTCTACCACCTGCTGTGTCCAGCTAGAGACAGGGAGAATCTTTGTGAGGAGAAAAGAGGAAGGCTGGTGTGGGTAGCAGTTGTTCTGCTGACTCTTGGGATGTGGATCCTAGAACAGTGACCAAGATCCCCAGGCTCTATGAATTCTGCTAGTGAATTACATCTGTCCTCATCTAATTGGCATTCATTGTGTAGTTCATCAGGAGAGCATGCCTGGGGTTCTGTGTGAAGGCTAAGGACTGATCACAAATGCTCAGGAAATCTATCATCAAATGTCTGTAGTGCTGACTGGCTGTTTTTAAGGGAACTGGAGTATTTCTTATTTTGCTTCTTCTGTATTTTTGTGCACTAACCTACTTCAGAGTGTGCATATGATTCTGTTAATTACAAGTCAAGCACTTTTATCTTTTTATTTATCCTTAAAAAAGCTGTTAGAGAAGGAAAGCAGCTTCTTTGCTTCTGTGAGCCATCTGATTAAACAGAAACATGGGTTTTAATCTGGTATTTGCACCCTTGTATATATAGCAAAAGAACATATCCTGCATAACAAGGCATTGGCAGTGGAGCTAAGACATGATGTTTTGTGCTTTTTTTCCCTTCTTATTCCCACCACTTCCACAGATCAAAAGCATGGTTCCTGATCACAGTTACCCTCTATCTTTGGCTATATGGCTTGGTCCCTCAGTTCCTGCATTAATAATATATAGAGTATGTATATATGAGGTCTCTGTGTGTTTATGGAGTAGCCCTGATGAAGTTCTGTAACAGCTTGTCTCTCTTCCAGTGAATTTCCTCAGAGTTACTCCTTAATTTCCCAGGGCATAAATGTTGACTCTGTGCTGGCATAGAACAGAGGCACCAGTCTTTGTCCCCATTCCCTCTCCTTTGCCATAATTTATCATTTTTCTTTTTACTGCTAATACAATCATATTTAGCGCCTCTGTTCTTAAGAGTATATGTTGGCTTTTTTTTCCCCCCTTTGATTTTTTCCAAATGCTACCTCATCTGACTTTCATCTCTGAATGTATTCTTAGTTTTATGACACAAAGTTCCTCTTCTTCCAACCTGAACTAACAGCCTTTCTGTGCCTACCTCTGAATTAAAACTGTTCCAGCTGAACTTTCTAATCTCTAATCTCCATCAGCTTCACCAAGTCCACCCCCAAGTCAGGTTGGTGCTGTTAACATTGCAGAGCTGGGTTTTTGGAGCACCATTTTCTCTGGCTCAGACAACCACAGCATAATGGTACTGAAACTGCAGCAGCTGCACTTGTTCTTCTGGTTCTTCACAGGATCCATCACCGTATCTTCTTAGCTGTGTTAGAATGATAGTTGGGGAGCTTGTCTCAAAGATTACTTCCACCCTTCTCTGCTCTTGTTTGGGTTTGGAGGTCTGCATCTCACCCCAACAGGCTCTGAATACCAGCCTACAGCGGGGACTTCTTCATTTTAATATTCCCCCATGTCTCTTCAAGCCCTTTTCTCTTCTTCAGCCATGCCTTGATACCCTGGACTTGTGCAAGCTGCTGTCAGTGACTGGCAGTGATGGGACACGCAGCATGGCCTTGGCTGAGCATCCCTACTGCGGCCACATCATCACCTGCATCTACTGCAGGGCTGGGGTGCTGTCACAGCTCTGTCCTTCCTTAGCAGGGCTTGGAGCTGGGAGAAATGCTGAACCTGCCCCTGCCAGTAGCACACTTGCTGTAGGGAATAAGCTTTTGGTTTTGTTACTCTGCTAAAGCGGCTCAAGCGAGGTTTTGTGGTTTCATTTGACAAGTTAAGCCTCAAGTCAGCAATGAACTTAAGCACCTGCTTAAGTCTGAACTTGTGTTAAGCCACTGGGCTTTGACAATGTGTTTAAAGTTAAGTCCATGCTTAATTGCTTTGCTTAATAAAACTGGGATTACAGGCACGGTGAGCCAGTATCAGAGGCTTGACAATTCTACTTCCCTGCTCCCTGAACAGAGTAGAAGGCCGTAGAGGTGAAATCCAACTCCAAAACATCAGAGGGGATTTTTTCCTGGCTATCACAGCAGCTGTGCCAGCAGTTCTGCTGCAGTACGAATCACATGGCAGGCCGAGATCATCTCCGTGCTTGCTGAACACCATGCCCTCCTGGTGGCTCATCACTTCAGTAAAAGGAACAAAGTCTCAGCCTATTTACTGAAGGCACCCTCCTGTTTCTCCAGCAGCTCCCAGACCCCTCAATCTCTCCACACAGAGCACACACAGTAGGACAGACTGGAAAGCAGCAGTCGAGGAAAGGGGCTTTGAAGTTTTTGGTGGTTTCTTTGAGCTGGGGAATCTGGAAAGGAGGCAGTGGTGCCTGAATCAGCTTCTGTGTGCATTAAGGAGGTCTGAGGGCTATTTCAGCTTGCAGCAGCAGCCCCTGTGCCAGCTGATAGCTTTTGGGCTTCAGGGACTTGAGATGCATGCTTAGCTGGAAAAAGTTTATTTCAGAGCTTGGCTTGTTTGGGCCAGCCAAGATGGGAACGTGGCCACTGCTGCAAATACATCTTGGGAGGACGAACAGGGAGATGTAGGAGAGAAGAGTTATTTAAACTGAAACAGCATGTTGGCACATATACAAATGGGTATGAACGGTCCATGAATAAATTAAGGCTGAAAATTAGCAGAAGGCTGGAATTAATGGCCAAAAATTCTCTC